AAACTGAAAAGTCCCAGTCTCTTTAGCCTCTCTTCATATGGGACCCGTTCCAAACCCCTAATAATTTTAGTTGCCCTTTTCTGAACCCTTTCCAAGGCTAAAATATTTTTTTGAGGTGAGGAGACCACATCTGTACACAGTACTGAAGATATGGCGTACCATAGTTTTATATTTCCCCTCCTCCTTCTTCCCCTGGCTTCCCCCTTCCAGCTCCCTCCTTCCAGGTTTCCACCTCCCCTCTCCCACCCTCTCTCTTCCCCTCTCCCACCTCCTTTTCCCAGTCTCCCCAGAGGTTAATCCCTCTTACCCCCCGAGTTTTGTTAAATAAAGAGAGTTTCTATTTTTGAACACACGTGTCCTTTATTTTTTACATCAGGAAGGATGGCTAGGGAGGGGTAAGTGGAAGGAAGTGAGGGAGGAATGGGGCACGAGCCCCTGATGGGGAGGACTTGGGTGGCTCTGCGGGCTCCTCGGGGTGGAAGCTCTCCTGCAGGGCCTCCTGGATCCTGACAGCCCCCCCGGATGGCAGCGTGCGGCAAGTGCAGCTGGGCTGATGGCCGAGTGCTGTGATGTGCTGAGTGAGGGCACTCAGGGCACTCCAAGACAGGACTGCTTTGCTGTCCCTCATCAAGGTAGAAAGCAAGCGGGGAACCTTGAGAACTGTCTGTCCCGGGTGGGGGTCGGGTCCTTTTAAACACAGCCCTCAGCTAGCCTGAGGCAGCAGCTCCACACTCTAAGTCCTAAACTGATGCCCTGCCAGCACTGGTTCCAGCCAGCCTTAACTTCAGTTCAGGGTCCACTCAATGTGGACATGCTAATTCAAATTAGTTTTTAGGTCTAGATGCACTAATTCAAATGAGCTTAGTTCAAATTAACTAATTCGAATTAAGTTAGTTCGAATTAGTGCTGTAGTATAGACATACCCTTGCTTAGTGAGGAACAGACACAAATTTGATATCTAATCTAAGGTGCTGTTAGTAACTTCAGTAAATACAGTTTGAATTCTTTCTAATACACAAGGAAACAGTGGCTTTTTTTTTTTTTAAAGCAAGCATAAAATGTAACTTTTGTCTTTGCAAACAATTCAACTCCTATGCTTTCCAGTGTTCATTTTGTAGTATGCCATTACCATGAGACTGTAAGTGTGAGTGCACATCTGAAATCCCCACTCTTACCTGGGGATGGTTCTTCCAGACCTCATACATAACCCTCAGCACATGGAGCTTCCCCTCATCACTTTCAGCAAGGGTTTTGAAGACTTCATGAAACCTTATAAAAAATAAAAGCCATCAGTGGATATGCAGCAAGTAGTCCAAGAGGTCCAGCAGAAGGTTGGAGGAGTATGCCTATATAGCCTTTGGCAGTTTGCCTGCCAGTCTGGGGCAATACCCAGTCGGGTGATGCTCACCCATAACTGGTTAGCCAGCGCCGGGCCCAGCTATCTGGACCATAGAACGTTAAGACCACAAGACCATAACATGTGCAGAACTAGTTTAAGTTTTAACAAGGAAGCCCAGATTAGTGAGACACACCAAGCTCATACAGTGCAACTGATGAAACAAAATCTGGAATTTTTAGACATGCTATATCCGTTTTGAGCAGGGTTTGATACCTTAAGAGAGCCCCTTTTTGAGTTTGCACTTCTCCCATGCTTGGGTTATCTGGCCTCCAATTTTCCTAGGAGAATCCAGCATGCTGGTAGAAGTTCACCTATGATTAGGGCCCAATCAAATTCACAGCCAGGAAAAAAAGCATCAAGGGCCATGAAATCTGGTGTCCTTTGTGAAATCGGGCCTGTGCGCTTTTACTCGAAGGAGACTCAGACCAACATGTCTCAAATTGGGGGTCCTTACCCAAAAAGGAATTGCAGGGGGTTGCAAGGTTATTTTGGGGGAGGGGAATTGCAGTATTGCCTCCCTTCTGCGCTGCCAGGTCTGGATCCGGCCCATGGGCGCTGTGCCTCACGCCCCCATCGCTCCACACATAGCCTTGACACCCCCCAGCCCGCTCCCGCACTCTCCCAGGCCTACCCACCCATTCCTGAAGCCTCCCTGCTTCCCACGCTCTGCACCCCAGCCCAGAGCCATGGGGGCTCCCCAAACTCTTCTAGCCGCCCTTCCCCCTAGCCTGTGCCGTGCCGGAGGCAGCCCCAGGGCCGGGAGGGGGAGGCACCGCAGGGGAAAGGTGGCAATACCATACCAGGCTACCCTTACCTCTATGCTGCTGCAGGAGGCAGCTCATCATACAGAGCTGGGATCCCAGTCAGCAGCTGCCACTCTCCAGCTCTGCAGGCAGCACCACCGTCAGCAGCAGCTCAGAACAGCAGAACTGCAACCGCCCCCCCATAACCTTGCAACCCCCTCAATTCTGTTCTGGGCTAGGACCCCTACAGTTACAACATTGACATTTCTCTCCTTCCTTCCCATCACATTAAACTGTGTAGCATATGAAACACTGAAGCTCGGGAAAGAATAGTTTTACCAAGCAATTCACTGTTCTCATCCAAATGTGTTCCATAAAATAATGCATTTGTCACTTACTTTGCCAGAGCACTGAACGAGTGGCTGAAGGATTTGGCAGCTAAATGAAGCAGAGTCTGCACAAAAACGTCTATTTTCAAAGGGTTAAAGGAGAATCCCTCATCTGAAAGATGTTTCAAATTGAAAAGAGTGGGTTAAATAACTTCTACTACTGATTTGAATGTATCCTAATCTAACCCTGCAAACAAAGCTCGAAGGCAAGGTTTATTTTGCAAAACTTAAGATTTAGCTTTGGAGCTTTGCAACCTGAAGAGGGAATCAGTCAATGCTTTCTAAAAGTTGCCATTTTATCAACAATTCCCTCAGATTACCAGGTGATGCCATGCTGAGAGTCTTACCAGAGCTGCATGACAGGGAAAAGTACATTTAGAACTAAGCTACTCCCTCATCCTCTAGAAGAGGTGATCCTCCAATTCTTGTTTCCTCCAGCAGAGAAGACTCCATTCCCATTTGAAAGCTCTATTAAACCTAATGTGGCAAAGCTATTGCTGTGCCTATTGGTCCTGCGCTTCTGGCGGACAGTGTTCAGCCTCAGAGGCTTGCTGTGTCCCACAACACGGCCTCTTTCTTTTTACTAAAGGCAGGGTTCACAGCATACTGAGGCATACTCATCACTGGCTCATCCATAATACGGGGGTGAAGCCGCTCTACAGTCCTGGTCTCCCTAACCAGGCACAGACGCTGCAGTGGTGTGTGTGTGGGGGGGGGCGGGAACCCAGGCCCTCCCACTACTCTGGGATCCAGCCCAGGGACCCTAAGACAGCTGCAACAGATGAGGTTTTGTTCTACTCCCTGTCTGGCAACTACTTCTCTGGGCCACTTCCCGAAACAATCCCTCCCAGGTTCCTCTGGTACCTGCTCCTCCAACACTCTCTTCTTGCCTTGCAGCTCCCAGCTCTCACCCCAACTCCTCTCATTCTCAGCACTTTGGCTCCTTCCTTCCTTGCTGTGTGCTACCTAACAGAAGAGGAGCCCTTTTAAACCCGTCTCTGGTTCTTGATTGGCCCCTGGTGGTCTAATTAGCCTGACTCCCTTTGCTCTGGAAGGCTCCCAATTAACTTCAGGTATTCTAACTGGCCTGATTGTCCAGACTGCTTCTGGAAAATTCCTCTGTCTCCAGTCCAGCCTCTGCCAGTTTACCCAGGGAACAGAGACCTCCTTAGTCTAAGGCTCACATCCTTTCCTTCTAGCACTCTTCTGTAACCCTCTCACCGGACTGTCACACTAGCAACAATCGATTACTGACTTTGAAAGTCTTCTTTTCACACTACTTCATTATCTCCATGTAGTTTGATTTTGATATATTCATGTATGTGCCTGTATAACACACATATTAGAAGTTATTTTTCACACAAACGACCAACTTTAGAGGTGACTTCTCAAACCTCTAACGCATCCTCTTTTCTAAAAATCTGAGAACACACAAGCCTTCGCCAGAAAGACATTGGTCCTGTTTAGAGCCAGGGCGAGGCTGGGAAGTGAGCTCAAATCAAGGCCCCTTTACAAGAATGTCTTTTATCAGAGGAATGGCAGCTTGAGCTCCTTAGTGGATCTCAAATGTTAAGGTAATCTACACAGAGGTGATTGCTCACGCAAGCAGGACACAAACCGTGCTACATTTTCTAAGTAAAAACTAATGCCAAGAACTTCATCCTAGTGGTGAAGATTGGGGGAATAGTTCATTCTTTTCATAGTATTTTTGTCAGCAACAGCCATCCAATAGTACATCTTAAATGTACTCCTTCCCACCACCATCCCATTGATAAGAATAGATCATGTCCGGGGCAAGAGATAAACAGAAGTTTGAGTGAGGCTTTAGAGGGGGAGTTCTCCAGGTAGAGGACAAGTAGATACAGGAGTTTGGGAGAAGTGGGTGTTGTGCTTGGGGCTTCTTGCTGTATGCTGAGCTTGTGTTGTGAGTGAGGGTTGTGTGTGTTCTTGTTTGTTTATTTATTTATTTATTTTTCTCCAGGTAGAGGACAAGTAGATACAGGAGTTTGGGAGAAGTGGGTGTTGTGCTTGGGGCTTCTTGCTGTATGCTGAGCTTGTGTTGTGAGTGAGGGTTGTGTGTGTTCTTGTTTGTTTATTTATTT